GCGCGCGCGAGCGTGACGTGGGCATTCGGGGTGCTAAACTGTGTTTTCTTATTGCCCGAGCAGTCACTATAAACTACCACCACACGACAGGCAGCCGCGCCCCCTCGCTGGACGACGATGAGGAGGAAGAAGATAGACTTCACACAATGATCTCAATGATCTGCTCGCGGAACCTCACAGATCCTAGTGTCATGAAAGGTTTTTATCACAAGACCCTAACCCTCTTCCACCCCCCACTGCCTCCTGGTCCTCAGATCCCAGCCCAACCGTGCTGGCCCCTCCCGAGGGTGGGGGGGGGGCAAGTGGGAGTGTGTGGCAGAGGTAGGATCCTTTTCTGTCTTGGGTTTTTTCCCCCCTCCCATCCACTGATTCTGCGCTCATGGGCCTAACCTCTGTGTGTTGCCATGACAACAGTCGCACTCAGCACGGGAGTTCGGGTGACCAACATCGCTGCCCTGTTCAACTTGCGGAGGGTATCCGTGCACCGCATGGGACCGAGTGACAGGTGAAGGAGGCGGGTGTGTGGGGAGGGTCTGGGGCAAATGGAGAAAGGGCAGAGGAGCAACAGGAGAAGACTGGGAGCGTGTCGTGGCAAAGCTGGACACCCTGAAGTGCTCCACCTTGGTCGGTCAGACAGACAAGCAGACAAACAGACAGAGAAGTAGGCAGGCAGACAGACAGACAGAGAAGTAGGCAGACAGGCAAGCAGACACAGGCAGGCAGACAGACAGACAGAGAAGTAGGCAGGCAGACAGACAGACAGAGAAGTAGGCAGACAGGCAAGCAGACACAGGCAGGCAGACAGACAGAGAAGTAGGCAGACAGACAGACAGAGAAGTAGGCAGACAGAGAGAGGCAGACAGACAGACAGGCAAGCAGACATACAGGCAGTCAGACAGTCAGAAAGATGGGCAGACAAACAGGCATGCACATAGGTAGATAGAGAGGCAGTCAGGGAGATAAGCAGGCACATAGGTAGACAGGCAGTCTGGATGAGAGACAGGCAGATAGGCAGGCAGACAGGGCTGACAGGGGTCATGGCTGAAGCAGCATGGAGATCTCACATGTTTGTTTTCCCCTTCACCTCTGCTTTCAGACAGCAATTGGATTTGCTCAGATTTCTGCAGGTTGACACTGTCCTATAATCGGCTGAACTACAGTTCTAAGGACCTTTGGTCAGTCTTCTCCTCAGTGGAAGTAGAGATCCACCCCCTAAACCCCCCCCCCCCCTTATTATGGAATAAAGAGCAGGAGTGGATCTGAGGTTTCTAGCCTTCTAATACTTCGTGCCCCCCCCCCCCCCCCCCCCAATGTTCACAGTTGATTCTCCTTTAAAATGGTCCCCTTGTCCTCACACCGTAACGGGTTCAGGGGGCTTGTTGGTCAAAGAGAGGGACAGGTAAAGGACTCATGGAGGACTCCAATTGTTTGTGTATGTTCAGGACCTGTAGCCTTTCTACACATTCAGGACCTCCAGCATTTGTATGCATTCTGGACCTGCAGAATTTCTGTACATTTAGGATCTGCAGCATATTCATATACATTCAGGATTTTCTATACATTCTTCTGATGCCCAGTGTTAGGACATTCTACAAAGCACCCAGTCAGCAGAGCCGGGGGGGGGGGTGTCTTCTTCTCCTTGGAGCTGGATGTGACGCAGGAGCCCAGAGTGGTGCGTCCAGGTGTCCAGGCAGCCCAGTAGAGCAGACCGGTGTCTCTGCCATATCCTCTCACTCTCCTGTCCTCTGTCAGCACTGTTGGGTTTGGGTTCTGGCGGCCAAAATATGCTTCGATTATTTGCTCTGGTTTCCTTTGCAGTTATTTTTGTTTTTGAAAAAGTTTTTGTTCCATTTCTTCATTTGATTTTTAGTGCGACATGCTTGACCTTTGCATGTGATACCTGCACCTTTTTCAGTTTTTCTGTAGTCTGCATTTCTACATATTTCCGAGGAATTGACTCCTGTATATTTTGGTTTTTCACAGATTCTCTTGCTCCTTCGCTTCAAACAGTGTTTTGTTTTCCCTCCTCTGTTGAACCCCTTTTGTTTTCTGCAATGCTGTTCACTGTAATTCTTCACAAATTCCGGTCACCTTTCATTACAAATGTCGGGTCCTGTGGGGTTCTGGCGTAGTAGAGACATGGATCGTTCTGTGAACAGGGCACTGTAGCGTAAGCGGCTTTAAGTCACATGGCCATTAGGCGCTGAGGGCTCTGGAAACACCCGCAGGGCAGCTGCTTTCGTTTGTTTTTTCGATTTTTTCTGTTTACGTTCTTTTTTTTTTTTTGTAAAAACCACCAAAGAGGCTTCTGTTTATGCCAGTCCATCAGCTTCAACCTGAAGAATTAAGGTGAAGAGCATTTTTAACACCTTGCTGTTCATTCGTTTTTTGTTTAGTGTTCATTTGTTTGCCACTTGCAGGTTACACTTCATTATTTCTTTTCGTTTGCTTCTTCATTTCAGTCGTCATGGTGGCTGTGCTGCGTCCAGCATGGCCCAGCGCTGCCCTTCCCTGTGCCTTTCTCAGCATCGCTCTCTGCCGCCTCAGTCCTCGTTTGTGGCTTTGCACCTCTGCATCCCTTATGCTTATTATTATTATTATTATTAGTATTATTTCAGTTGTTTTTTTAAGTGCCGATGCATGCATTTCTGATTCTCGGCTGTTCCGTTTTCTTAATAATCCTCGTGTTGTATGATTTTATAGCTGCAGAACGTCTGACATCGATGTATATATTTTTTTGTTTTATGTTTTTATCTTTTTGAGACGTTTTTTCCCAAAGCGTCTCAAATTAAGAATGTGCCAATCTCTACCTTAATTGAACTCGTGGTTGAGCTGAGGGGCCAGCATTTAATGCCTGAAGGGAAGCGCTGTGTCACGTGACCGGGGCGTGTGGCGTTTATCTTGCTGCTTGTGTTGTGGATGCTCTGCCGGGGCAGAGGAGGACTCTACAGATGCCTGCCTGTAACTGGCCACTTAATAACTAACTAAAAGGCAGGGTAAACTTTCTTTTCTAAAGGTGCAGAAAGCCCCCCCGTGATTGAAATGTGAGCCCCTCCCTCTTCCGCAGGACGAGGAGTCGAGAGGAAGCTGCCGCATGTGAGCTGTGGATCCTTTTAGCCACTGACCTCCCTGTCTCTCTCTCCCTCTCCTGCTCTCAGACCACGGGGAGACAATGGAAATGCCAGGCTTAGGGGGCAGCCCGTCGTCATGGCAGCAAGGAGAGTGCAGCAGCCACCTGTCGTCTTGCCTCTCCTGCTCCACCGGGGGCAGCAGCGCGTCTCTCGAGCTGCCCCCTGGCTGCACCTGCATTCATGACCGGTGAGGGCAGACGTGGCAGCCGGTCGCTCATCTGTGAAATCCCAGCTGCTTTGTCCTTCACAGTCTACGTAGATGTATGGAAACAGAGACAGGACCAGCACTGTTGTCACTGCACTAAGATGCACGTTGATTGAGACTTGTTTTCTTGGTGTAAATGCTTGACATGCTGCCTGTTAACTCTCCGTCGTCTCTGCCGTTGCCAGAATCCCACTGAAGATGCTGTGCCAGAACATGAAGCGCCAGATCGTGTCCCGCGCCTTCTACGGCTGTAAGTCGCCCCCTCGCGCCGGAGCGGGCCGGGACCCACGCAGCCCAAACGGCTTTTACAGCTGTACAGCGGGCCACCGCCTCCGAATCTCATCTCGCAAATTTGAGTCTAGATCTGAACAAGTCAACCTAGCTACAGGGCAGTTTGCCAACCCGGATGGGGGGGGAGGCAGCTCCAGGGAAAACGTGCCAACCCAGGGGGCCATGGGGCTTGACTCTTGTCCTGTTGAACCTCATAATTGCTGAGTTCCCATTTGAATGTTGCCTTTGCTTGCTTCCTGACGCGTGCTGTCCTTGCCCTCTCAGGGCTGGCTTACTGCCGCCACCTGTCCACAGTGCGCACTCACCTGTCAGCACTGGTCAACCACAGCATCATCCCACCGGACCGACCGTGCGAGGCCTCGGGGGGACTCAGCAGAGACGTGTGGAGCAAGTACCAGAAGGACTGCAAGGTGAAGCTGGCCCTGCAGTGCCAGGCTCGGCCATGAGAGGGCAGCAAAGCCCACGCTTTCCTCTGACAACCCGGCTAATGGGGGCCCCTGCTCACCCTGCAGAACTACAAGGAGCTGGAGCTGCTGAGGCTGGTTTACTACGGGGGGGTCGAGCACGAAATCCGCAAGGAGGTCTGGCCCTTCCTGCTGGGCCACTACAAGTTCGGCATGGGAAAAAAAGACATGAGCCGGGTATGGATAGAGCGCTGTACACACTCCGAGGGGAAACGCATGTCTCTTTATGATGCATGTATGTCTGATTATAATGATTAAGCGGCAGGCACAATCGGATCTCCCTGTTTCTGGAAGCGTGACGGCCCTTCCCTGGAAAACACCATGAATCAGTTTGTAGTCACCTTCACGAGTCAGTGTGACCCACAGCACCAACGCTGATCAGTACAGAGCCTTCCCAGTTACCCAGCATGCCGTGCTCCAACTTGGCAGGCTCTGCCTCTGACACACGCTAGTCATCCCAAAATAAACGGACTGCACAGGCGATTATTTATGTGAGTTATAAATTGCTATAACAATGCTTGTTAATACAGAGTGAATAAACAGAGTTAAGGTGATTGTTTTGCTTTTGCTTATGATTTTGCTGTATGATGCTGTTCTGAGCGATAACCATATCGTCGGTAAATCAAACACAGCTTTGACATCAAGGGAGTCCCTCCGCTTCTGTCGGACTCTCGGGAAAAGAACGCAGGTGACCTGTGCAGCGGAGTCCCCGGATGCCGGCCGCACCGCGCCCCGTCTTGTCCCACCTGCCTCTGCCTGTTAATTTACGACCGGCCGTGCGCCTCCTTCAGATCGACGAGAAGATCGCTGCGCGGTACCAGCAGGTGATGCGCGAGTGGAAGGCCTGCGAGGTGATCGTCAGGCAGCGCGAGAAGGAGACGCAGTCCGCCATTTTCGCCAAGCTTTCCTCGGGCAGCAGCATCGACAGCCACGTCCTGCGGCTCATCCACCGGGACTCCACCATCAGCAATGAGGTGCGGGGGTGGTGCATCAGCTAGTCCACTGCATGGTACGGGGGGCAGGTTTCCTGACTAAGCCGTTTCCTGCCCTCAGGTGTTTATGTCTGTTGACGAGCCGGATGCCGCCGGCCAGGACACCCCCAGCGGGAGCGACTCCACCCCACCCCACACTGCCGCCGTGCCTCCTGCTGCCCTGGTGGAGTTCGACTCTCCAGACTCGGGACTCCCTTCCTCACGAAACTATTCTGTGGCTTCCGGACACTCTCAACTCATGTCCAGCATCGAGGACAGCCAGAGCCTCGAGGAGGAGCTTTTGGAGGATTCGCAGCCCCGGGGCATGCTGGGAGATCGAGGCCAGCAGGAGGCACTGAGCGAGGAGCAGCTCTGCAGCCAGCTGGACAAGCCATCAGCGTGCGGCGAGGGCCTCCCTGCCTCCCTGTCCTCCTACACGGTGGGTTGGGGGGAGGGGGAGCCTCCATGTTGGGCGCTGGAGCTACACAAACCTGCTTGGACGAGGGCCTTGAAATGTGATCCCACCTCCCGCCTCAGATCGAACTGCTGGACACGGTGGCGCTGAACCTGCATCGGATAGACAAGGACGTCCAGCGCTGTGACCGAAACTACTACTACTTCACCCCTGCCAACCTGGAGAAGCTGCGCAACATCATGTGCAGGTGGGAGCGCCCCCTATGGGAAAAGCTTAATGCTGCCCCCCTTCAAAAAGAAAGTACATAAGTGTGTGTGTCTCTCTCATCTAAGCTACGTGTGGGAGCACCTGGAGGTCGGCTACGTCCAGGGAATGTGTGACCTCCTGGCCCCCCTGATGGTCATCCTGGACGACGGTAAGTCTGTGAGCCTCACGCTGGGCTTTTCACAAGGGTCTTACTGTGTGAATTCCCACGAGCCCTCACACGATGCTGAGCCGCGGCTCTTTGCACGCCCCCGTCAGAGTGCCTGGCATACAGCTGCTTCACACAGCTGATGAAGAGAATGGGGCAGAACTTCCCCAACGGCGGCGCCATGGACACTCACTTTGCAAACATGAGGTCCTTGATCCAGGTGAGCGGCGCCGCCCCTGACGGGTTTTTCATGATAACATCTGGCTCATGATCCTGAGGCTTCTTTTTCCCCCAAAGATCCTCGACTCGGAGCTGTTTGAGTTGATGCACCAAAATGGCGACTACACCCACTTCTACTTTTGCTACCGTTGGTTTCTGCTGGACTTCAAAAGAGGTGCTTCTTCACATCTTCTTTCCGGTGGTTTCTTTCCTGTGTCCCGCCCCACTGCCCTGGTAGCTTTACACCTCTCTCATGACAGAGCTGCTGTACGAGGATGTGTTCGCCGTGTGGGAGGTGATCTGGTCAGCCCAGCACATTTCCTCGCAGCACTTTGTCCTATTCATCGCCTTGGCTCTGGTGGAACTCTATCGAGAGATTATCCGGGACAACAACATGGACTTCACGGACATCATCAAGTTCTTCAATGGTCAGTTCCTGGTGCTTTTGTGTGGAGAAATGCTTACCTTTGGTTATATGTTCATGATAAAATGTGTGTGTGTGTGTGTGTGTGTGTGTTTGTTTCAGTAGTGAGTATAAACACAATGTGTTGGCATGCAGTGATTGAGTGTGCAAGGGTTCACATAGTATTTAGTGTGTCTGCCTCTGACCCTGCAGTGTACTGAGTGTGTTTAGTGAGTAAGCTGTGTCTGCTTCTGATGCTGCAGTGTGTTGAGTGTGTAAGATGTGTCTGTCTCTGACCCTGCGGCGTGTCCCTGACAGAGATGGCTGAGCGTCACGATGTCCAGCAGATTCTGCGTATCGCCAGAGAGCTGGTGTATAAAGTCCAGTCTCTTATTGAGAACAAGTGAGGCGGGAGCGCGGGCCCCTGGGGCTGGGGGGGCGGCTTCTCACTCTGGGGAACCCCAGCCCACCTCCACCTCCACCCACGCCTGCCCTGCTGCCCAGGCAGGGAGGTAAGATGCAAACGAGCACAGCCCACGTTTCGACGACGTCTGAGGGCAGCCGCCTGGCCCAGGAGGCCTGTGTTGCCTTTAGAGAATCTCTTTAAGATTATTTTTAAAGTAATTTGCCTGTCACAGAATGAGTTGTGTAAAACCTTTGGAGTTGTCTGCATGCCTGTGAGTTTGACGACACTGTGACACAAGTTAAATGCTCTTAAAAACGACATATTTATGAGATCGTTTTAGATCATTACCGTTTACAGTAATGACTCTCTCCAGAGGAGCTTATAAATAATAGATCGATACGGTTGGTTTTGGGGAAGACAAGGAAAATCCATGCCGCACTGAATACCAGAGTGTAATGGGGTAAAGACAGAGCCAGTTTGCAGTGGGTTCCCCACCAGCCGGCTAGCTTTTCAGAGACTGTCGCAGCAGCACCAGAACTTACCATGGTGAGTGAGGATTTCATCGATCTACAGGAGTTAGCCTGCAACACAGCCCTTTTTAGCTGCCGCCTGTTTGATTTCCCGTACCCTGTGCAGTTCAGTCTCACCTGGCCATTTCTGTTCGGATGGCACCCCCTACTGGAGATCCCCTTTGCCCTCGCTTCAGATTCCACCTGATAAAAAAGAACTTGTTTTGTGACCAAAAGGACTGTGGCAGCCTCCACGTGCTTGTGATCCATGCGGCACGTTTCAGTCTTCTGCTCAAGGCCCGCAGTGTTGGGCTCTTCCTCCTTTCTGGATGCTTCAGTTTAGCAGCTGACCCTGTAGAGTGACTGAAAGCTAACTGCTAAAGTAGTCCACGCCTTCACCAGAACATTCCAAGTTTTATTATCCTTGTTTTTATTTTAAAACCACTTCTCGCACTTTGGACCAACCTGTGCCGGTGAACCCCTGCCCTACCCCCCCACCCCCCCGAGAGGTTCGCTGTGCCAGGTGGGCATGATGGGACTTCCAGAAAGACGGTCCAGTTCCTGGACACGGTCTGTCACTTTCCTGCTTGCAGGGGGGGAGGGGGGGGTCAAACCAGCCCTCTAGCTGCTTTCAAATACCGAACGTGGTGTAGAAAGCAGAATTGCAAACCCCCCCATTCCCCCTTGAAGAGCTGAAGCCCTTGGTCCATGTACCAAAGCCCCCCGTCTGCAAAAGGAGTAAGGCGAACCGGTGCAGCGTTTCGGCCGATAACGACTGTTTGTTGGGCTACTCTATTCCATAGCCTCTATGAATACTGTGCTAAATGTTATTTAATCTCTACAACTGCTACACGCAGCAAATGCCTGAGATTTTTAAAAGAGAGAATGATTTTTGTAAAATGTTACTGGTTTGGGAACGCAGCCAGGTCCCGTACCCTACAGATCTATAAGCTTTAGCGTGGCAAGTGTTTACTTTGACTGTTATGTGTTCATTATTGTTGTGCACTGAATTTTACCCATTTCAAAAATTTTATTTTAAGAAACCAACTTTGAATGACCAGGTATGTATTGTAAAGGAAACAGTTTACCTTGAATGTAATATTTAAAAAGGATGTCTTATTAAAAATAACATTGGCAAACTTTTAGCAAGCTTATTCCATGGACAATTCAGAGACACCAAATAAGCACCACCTTTGATGAATTCATTTATTATGTTTCTCATATACAAAAAGGTCACTTCAGGGTGGACAGCGGTTACAAAAGTGTTTTTTTTTTTTTACATGGCCAAAACCCCGAAACTGATATCAGCATCCATGGAATTCCACTATTAGAAAGGCATGAAAAATTAAAATAGATACTGAATCTTTAAAAAGCTAAATCTTCTTCCATAAATACCTTCTTTGTATTTAAAGTCACTGCTCTCATAACAATCACTGATTTGTACAGAGAAATAAAAATGAGTGATGTGACCAAAAAAAAAAAACAGCAATGACATTCTTAGGCTGCAGGTTGTGAAAGTACAGTACAACATCAAAGGCCAGAGCAGGTCTCTAGTGGGGGGGAGGGGGGGGGGCTTTGGGCCCAAATATCTTTCGGGAGAGTGGGGGTAGGGGGGGGGTTGTAAAATGTCCCCAGTAGAAAGGAGAGCAACAGGTGTCCAAGAGCCCTCCTGACCAGATCTTCCCGTTCTTCCCCACCCTGAAACACAGCATGCAACACACACAAAGCAGGGATCAGTACATGGACAGTGAAGAACATCCAACACGTAGCTCTTTTCAGATTCTGCTTGGGTAACACGAGGAACGGAGACCCCCCCCCCATCATCATCATCATCATTACGGCCCAATCAGTCTCCCCAGCTTCTGCTTGTCTTAACTGCCCATCGCTGCATAACAAGTGACAGACAGGAACGGCACCTACCACAGAGAGAGAGCTGCATGTCCCAAATCCTCACTGGAGCCTGAAACAGAACACAAACACTAATGACAGATTGCAGAGCATCCTTCAGGAATTCTACAAGGCAGCAGGTAAGTTTGCTTGTTGGTTATCCTCCATTTTGCACAGCGAAAAAATTTAATTAGCCAGGCCAAAAAGCTGGGGTTACAGGGACCCAAAGGGTGACCCCTAATGCTGCTCGGCTGGCATGAAGGATCGGGGAGCTGCCCTCAGAAGGTTCTGGGTGTAGCCATCCCAGCTAGACGAACTCCAGGCCACCCCCTGGATCCTGTACTAGACATGGTTGAAAGATTAATTTTTCCACAAGCAAATAAAATTCTAACCAAAGGAAATAAATTCTCAGATGGAAATGACAAGCCGGCTGTCAGAGGTGTTACACACGGCCCACGGGCCCCAGCCAGTGACTGAGACCTGTATGTTGAATGAAAAGCCCCAGAATCCAGCACAGACATTACAAAGAAATCCTTATGCCAATTTGTGATGGATCAACCACATTTTAATGCAGCAACACTTGACAAATCTTCTCGTGCTACACATCAGCCTACAGCTAATTTATTCTGGGATAATAAGCACTGTGCAAAACTCTCGTGCCAAGATTTTCTGAATCTAGTACAACCCCCCCTCCCCCATGTTGACATGACCAAGGACGAGTCTCACCGGCATCCAGAGGGACCCTCTGCTTCCTCTTAACTGGGATTGGTCTTCTCTGGAGACTTTGGGATCTGCAGACGACAAGGGCGGGGTCAAAAAGCATGGCAACAGCAGGAGAGGACAGAACTAGGACCAAGTTCCTGACTCTTCAGCCTTTGAGCTCAGACGGGTAAACCCCCATCCCACCTCCCACCTATAGTGGGCTGGAAAGATCTGCTCAAAGTGCAGAATGTCTGACACCTAAATATATATGTTGACAAAATGAACCTGTGCTGCGCTTCAATACCAATATTAATTAGCATAAGTACAGCAATATTAAAAATGGATTGTTTTCCTGGGTAAAATAGTTGTTCAGAAACCTGGGGAACCCCCTAGAGGAGCAGCGCAGAGGTGCAATACAGGTCATGGGATATAGAAGGTATACCCACTCCACCCCACCCCACGTTCCCAGCATAACCAGCATCCATATGATGGTAGAGGAGGATGGGGAGTGCTAGTGCCACCCCAAGAGTCACTGCATTCCCAAGTGGGGGGGGGGCACCCAACTGCCGCCCTTCAGTGACTTAGGCAGCAAGGACAGGCTCTCTGTACAGCGGCCAGTTACTCTTTCAAAAAGTGTCATGACATGAGAATTGTGTATCGAGGCAACACAGGAAAGACGACTGCAAAATCAGCCACTTGCTGCCATTAGCCAATAGAGGGCGATATTCTTCCATCAAGGAGACCGAGTGCTTTCCATCTTCGGAAAGGAATACGAAAAATGAGACTTCAAAAGTAGCCACTAGCATGATAGGATGCATTCCAAAATATGAACGTAAGCAGGGCCAGGCTAGACCAGAGAACAAGGGGAAGAGCCATTCATCAGCAGTGCTAACAGGATCGGGAAAAGGCAGAAATGAGCAGGAACAGCAGCGAACGCCACCAAAAATCAAAGAAACAAAATGCAGTTCATTTGGGGGTGGGGTGTGTAGAACAACAGGCAGAACAGCTACTGTACCTGTGGTTGTTCTTTTAGAAAATCAGGTAGCTGAAATTCACCTTTAAAGACCTGAAAAACAAAGCAGTGGTTTTAGAAGCGGCACCAAAGAGGAGGACTCCGAGGACAGCACCGAGACAGGCTCTCCACCTCATCATGAAGAGACCCAAACAGGACTCCGAGGACAGCACCGAGCCACAAGCTCCCCGCTTCATCATGAAGAATTACTGAACAGGAGCACTGTGAGGACAGCACTGAACCACACAGGTTCTACCCACAAGCCAAAACAGACAGAACCCCCTCAAATTCTCAGCACCTCAGGCGGAAGGCGGGAGACAGTGCCATTAAAAGAACCCCACCCTGCGGGACAGCACCTCCCTGGTCCTCACAGACACCCAGTGGCACCTCCCTGGTCCTCACAGATACCAAACATCACATCAGACCCAAGGACACCAGAGGAGGCCACCGGGGCAACAAGTTTAAAGGAAAGGAAACAGAGGGGGGGGGGGGGGGTCATGGCAGTCCAGCCAAGGTGTTCAGCATCTTAACTCACTTAATAACCTATTAGGCATCCAATTACCTGGGTAAATGCTATGCTAACTCATGGTAGGATTTACAAAACAGGAAATGAAGCAGAGCTTTTAGCACCGTGCAGTTATGGCAGAACAAAAAGGCAGCTGTGAGCACGAACCCAAACGCCTGAAAGCAGCCACCGTCACATTCAAACAGTGTATTACATTACCTGGTCGCATTAAAAACCGCCATCATACTTTTAGTATGTGGTTTACTTGCACAGCCCAGTAACTAATAGGCATCCAGAAGTCGACTGCCTCACCCCAGGACGATCCAACACAATACAGAATCCCAGGGTTCAGTTCCATACTCTGTTTTCAGAGCTCAAAGATTCATTCCAGGCCTGAAGAAAGAAAAAGCTTCAGAGGAGAATCACAGGGGACTTGAGGATTTGGGGGTTGGGAGCCAGAGCGGAATTAATTTTAACACGCAAGTTGCGTATGGCTTTTATTTCCTGAGCAAACCTTCAATGCTTCTGCAGTACAGCCAGCTCTGCTCTCTGCTCCCCATCAGGTACTGCAGATCGGGGATCCTGGGGGGGGGGTTGATTTGAGGGGGTGGGATCCCCAGGTTACTCTCTTCTCAGGATCCGTGTCATTCGCTGGCTGGGAAGTTGCCAGCACATTTCGCCGATCACCATCTTTTCGATTCCGATTTCGAGTGATCTTGGCCAGCCGACTGCATCTCGGGGGGAGCTTTCCCACCTTCCTCTCTGGTGATCGGCTGGAGTCCAAGCCCACAGCATGAGCCCACGCATCAAGCAGACTTAGCTTAGACTCCGCCTTAAATCTGCCTCCCAGTGACAGAGAAATGGAAGGTTGGGGCATATCAGACCCCACTGTAACTGCATGATGTGCTGAACCCGTTTTAAAGGGAGGGGGGAGGGAGGCCAAGCCGAGGTTCAGCACCGGCTCCTCAGATGCACACAGACTGAGCCCTAAATATTGTTCTCATGGGCCAAGAGTGTGGCCACCTCTCCCAGTCCTAACTTCACCCTAAAAGTTTTGACCCATCCGTGCGTTTCAAGTAGGCCTGCCCCATGGGCACTTCCTGGACACACAATAATAAATTTAAATTCTTTCCACAATATATTTGAATAACTTCCTTCTCAGCATATAGGAGCTTTAGCTTATTTAAACAGAGGCATTAGTGTTGCTGTATGGCCAACAGTGCTATAAATCACATACCGGTCCTACACATGCAGTCTAATCATGACAAAGCATGATGCAGTAGGGGGAAGAGGAAGCAGCACAGCGACGGGCGCGATCAGGATAGCAATCAGATGCATGCTCACATGGGCTCCATGTTGCTCGCCCGCCATCTGCCTCGCTCAAACCAGCACCGTCCAGCCTGTGGGGGGTGAATGTTACGCAACAGCCCTTTCAGGAGATGAGGAGAAGCGCTGGACATCTCAGCCGAGACCAGGATGAATCACTGTGATGTGCGAGTAACCGCTGTTCATTTCATAGGGCTAAATTTCATTCGTCGATTGATGTCACCTAAAGCGTTCTACGGAATATTACACGATGACGACAATGATGAGTCTTTGTGATTACGGTTGCTTCGGCATCCTATTCGGGTCTCATTCCACCCTGGACAGGCTCCATTCCACACTCGGTTAATGCAATAAGACCAAAACAAAGCCCTTTATGAGCTTACGGGCATTACTGCAGCAGCCAAAGACTCATTGATCTAAATATCAATTTCTCACAGGCAATCAGAAGAACTGCAAAGTCACTTAATAGGGATCGATTTGGGGTCTGGAGCACATCCAGGACACCCCTCATTTACAGCACACCGCAGCCGATGGCTCCATTTCTGACCAATGAGAGGGATGGCTGAAGAGTTATAACCACAGTCTGGATTTGTTTTCATACACGGATACAAAAGGCTATAAACACCAACCCAGTTCATTTACAAGCCGCGCCGGAGGCAGTTTCGCCAGTGTGATGGAGACTGAGGGCGTTAGCATTAGCTACGATGTGCGAGGCACTGACAGCACCGACATGACCTGGCAGGGCCCCTGGGCTTGAGGCCCCGCCTTACCACGTGGGGAACATTGTTTACAGTCCACATGTGCTGGAGGGAATGGGCACGGTGGAAACAACCTCTCCACCAGCGAACCAGATCCTCCAGTTCATTCGATGACGAAAAGACCCACTGGCAAAATCAACTGCACGCATTTCTGAACACAAATACGCCAGCAAAGACCCCTCCGCCTCAATACTTAGCATGAATAATTTCATAATAGAGAGAGAGAAATCAGTATTTGAGAGTCAGCACCGTGTACCTAAGTAAATGTATTAATAATGTTTTCGATAATACAGCCTTTAAGTTTTGAGGTCTGGAAATCTTTTAGAAATCTATCCAGCATCCCTGTTACTCCATAAATGGGCCAGTGATTCTCATAACGATGACAAGCCTTGCAGTTGGGTTGCCCTGGAAACAAAGTCTATTTCAGCCTACCTTCAAGAAGCACTTGACCTCGTTCCTTAAGAGATGGACAGTGGACGGAATGACGGTTTCTCCAAACCACAAGCACAGTACTAACTACACTCTATTCAGTGTTCAATCAGGGTTCGAGGAGGACTCTTTGGCACAGGGTGGTAAGCTGTGCGCTTTCCCTCTCGTCAAGATGCTTAACAGTAACCTTGTTAAGCGTGGAAAAAACGGCAGTGGTTTACTTGGAACAGCTGTTCTGAGTAAAAACTGTGCATTTAATTTGGCTTCTACAAACTATCTTTTCGCTGAGATTTCTCCAGAAGTACTCAGTTTCCTACCTGAAATGAAGAGTTTCTTGCTACAATCCTTAATGTCCAGTGATCCACGATTAGCTATACTGCATAATTTGTGATTACGGCAAGATTTTGGCTGAGTTAAGCCAGGAAACAACCACCTAGTCAGACTAACAGTATATGTATCTGTCATGAAGAGTTAGGTAAATAATTTCTGCTTTGGTACAGACAAGGAAACAAATATATATTTATTGACACAGGCGGAATCTAAATTTACAAACAGATGCTGAACACGGAAACCATTATGCGAATTGTGGTTGTGAGTTGGTTATTGCTAATGCTGGTTAGTCAGGCATAATCAGCAGTTTGAGAACATTTGGTTTCCTAATTAACACTGGCGTGACAGAGAGTAGTTAATAAGATTAAGAATGTGTCTTGGTTCTATTACACCGAACTCAGACATGTTGCTGGAAGCACATCCAACATGCTAGCCCATTTGAGACATCACCACCTGAGCAAGGCAGAAACTACCTCTCCAAGTTAAAAACCACGGGAGGAGACTAAGTTTTTACCAGGTAATTCAGACCAATATATACAGCTGTAGGGGTGTTTATATATAGGTTAGTCAATTTTGCCAAAATGTCATTGCAGCAACTCAAAATCATGCTCAGTAGTTTGTATGGCCCCCTATGTGCTTGTATGCATGCCTGACAATGTCGGGGCATCCTCCTAATGAGACGACGGATGGTGTCCTGGGGGATCTCCTCCCTGATCTGGACCAGGGCATCACTGAGCTCCTGGACAGTCTGAAGTGCAACCTGGCGGTGTCGGATGGACCAACACATACAGTAATGTCCCAGAGGTGCTCGAATTGGATTTAGGTCAGGCGAGCGTTGGGGGCCAGTCAATCATATCAATCCCTTCATCCTCCAGGAACTGCCTGCATACTATCGCCACATGAGGCCGGGCATTGTCAAGCACCAGGAGGAACCCAGGACCCACTGCACCAGCGTAGGGTCTGACAATGGGTCCAAGGATTTCATCCCAATACCTAATGTCTAGCCTGTAGAGGTCTGTGTGTCCCTCCATGCATATGCCTCCCCAGACCTTCACTGACCCACCACCAAACCAGTCATGCTGAACAATGTTACAGGCAGCATAACGTTCTCCACAGCCAGCTTCTCCAGACCCTTTCACATCTGTCACATGTTCTCAGTGTGAACCTGCTCTCATCTGTGAAAAGCACAGGGTGCCAGTGCAGACCTGCCAATTCTGATATTCTAAGGCAAATACCAATCGAGGTCCACAGTGCCGGGCAGTAAGCACAGGGTTCACTAGAGGACGTCGGGCCCTCAGGCTATCCTCATGAAGTCTGTTTCTGATTGTTTGGTCAGAGACATTCACACCAGTGGCCTGCTGGAGGTCATTTTGTAGGGCTCTCCTGGAGTAACTGCCTGTCTCCTGGAATCACCTCCATGCCCTTGAGACTGTGCTGGGAGACACAGCAAACCTTCTGGCAATGGCACATACTGATGCGCCATCCTGGAGGAGTTGGACTGTGCTGTGCAACCTCTGTAGGGTGCAGGTATCACCTCATGCTACCAGTAGTGACACTGATTGTAGCCAAATGCAAAACTAGTGAAAAAAAAGTCAGAAAAGAGGAGGGGGGAAAAATGTCAGTGACCTCCACCTGTTGAACTATTCCTGTTTTGGGGGTCATTGTTGCCCCTCTAGTGTACCTGTTGTTAATTTCATTAACACCAAAGCAGCTGAAACTGATTAACAACCCCCTCTGCTACTTAACTGACCATGTCAATATCCCAGAAGTTTCATTTACTTGATGCTATACTCTGATTAAAAAGTGTTCCTTTAATTTTATATGCGACCACTTAGTCATAGAGAACAGGATTTAGATGGGATTGAGTTCATTATGATTGTCTTATGATCATATTTTTTTATTTTTATCCATCATCTTATTCAGACATGGCAACAAAGACATTACCTTTGGTTTTGTTTCTCATAGTGTTTGCCGTTTTAAAAAATATTTTAAAATAAATTCTGCTTTCCCTGCTGTACCAGAATTGCACAAAACCATGAACTCAAAACTGAGGGTTGTACTGAATTGGGAATTTTGTGTCCCACTACACCTCTACCACCTCACCTTCAGCCAATAAGGAAAATCTGCCAATATCCAATCTGACTGCAGTTGGTCTGCAGTTGGGAGCTACAGTTACTAGTAATTTAAAAGCAAGCAACTGCTGCCTGTCTTGGAGCCAAAACCCCCCAGTGAAATGAATCCAGCCTTGTTCACTCTGGTTCACCCTCATTTAACCACGCTGGAAAGACAGACATGGTGAACTTGCTCTGTGCTCTGACAGCTCTTTATAAGTATGACACAATCATGCACCAGGTCCTGAGGGCAAATATTTAAACTGTAAAGCTGGTAGACCATCTGAGGACATGGCTGCACTGAAGCCCTTCACTGCTACACATGCAGAGGGAGTTTGCACTGGAGACAAATGGAGGGACACGGCAGCTGCAAACAATCAAAGCATGGGGGTGGGGCTAATGTCCCACAGATGTGCAGAGCACCACTATAGCTTGAAGTGAAAATAGGAGTCGGCCATCATGGAGACCAAGGCCAACAACCTTCATGTCAAAATACCACTTCGATCAACCTTGCAAAGTTTCTGTCCAGGTCTGTCCTTGTTCTGCTAAGCAGAGTGTTAAACTAATATCAGGCAGCTGAACTAACCCTGGCTTTTCCATTCCCCCATTTTCTAATGCCCGATCAGGGATACTGTGAAAAATCATGACCATACAAATTCACCCACGGATTCTATGACCCGAATGCGAAACTGATCCTTGGTGAAATGCCCCAGGATGTTTTCATCAGTGCTTAATGGTCAAACAGTCAAATCCTATATAAGCCAGACAACTCAAAAGAATTCAGCTGCTAGAAACAACAGAGGAGCTTCTCGGGATCATAGTTCAGGTTTGAATGGAGGACAATTTCACAGGTTAAATCAACATTTCCATCAGAAAGTTAGTAGCCTGAGAGAGAATTTCACACATACCAAGCATCCCCCAGCCCGGCAAAGACACAAACTAAGTAAGAGTTTCAATAACTAGCAGCAGCCAGAGAACTGCATTTCTCTTCAGACCATCATCTCCAGAGGTTATTAATACACCCCCTATTTCCACAACTATTTCCACTCAACTTCTCCCGACAGGCAGAAAGAACTCAGTGGGGGTCCGTGTTGCAGTGTTTTTTTTGGCTCCGTGGTCAGCTTGGGAATGCTTCACACTGGAGTCACTGCTGATCCACACCATTCCTTGACACCCACATCTCATTTGACCGTTTTGCTTCATTAATAATGACGATGAACATGACTGATAAATATTCATCACAGTGTAAGTTAAGTGGCCTCGCCATGTTTAAAGTAGCTTTAATTAAAACCTAAAACCATCACATAAGTGCCACTAGATCACGAAATCCAAGGCCAGACTGATATCCTACAACCACTCAATGCACTGGAACACAGTGTGATTAATACAAGTGTCCCCTGTAGGACCATACAGTGTAAGCTGATGATTTACTGCTCTCTTACCATTTACCACTGTACTGCATTGTACTGTATTGGATGTATGAAGCATTTCCCTAGTCTAGGAGAGGACCTCTGCACCATTAGCCAATTTGATCTTAGAGCTAATATAACGTGTTATTTCGTAACAACCGCCTTTGAGCCGTGGTGAGCGATCAAATGTTAGCGTTACGGCATAAGCGTGTCTCATAACCACTAAGCCATGTAGTGCGATGTTCAGGCCGATTCTCAGCAGTGATTTCACAGGTTACTCAGAGAATAAAACCCTGTCATGTTCTCATACAAGAAACAAGACCATTTCTGAGGACACTGCTGTCTTGTTTCCTAAAGTGCTCAAATAACAAGAAAAATACAAAGGCAGCATCATCTATTGACTATAGGATTTTATATGCAAAGGTCTAACATAAATTCTGATATATTTCAGGAAAGAAAGGGGGGGATGTTCTATTGCCTTTAAAATTAATACCAGAGCTTCTCTGAAATACTTACTTTATGGCAGATTGTGGGCTTTTTAAGAATGGGTGGAATGGTATGTACTTTACTATCAGAATAAGTACATCATGTTCATCAGAATAAAGGAACACACTCACCCTTCTTGTGTTGTCCAAGACTCTGGGGTCTGGCCTCCCGTAGTTGGGAGGATTGGCATGTGGGTCATAGCCCAGGCGGGACAGCATGGGGGCTATGACCGGCATGTCCCGCAGCACGTCTGGCGGAATCTTGCCCACCCACTTGGAGAGGGCCTCTACATTGACGGGCTTAATCACCTGGTCCGTGGACCTCTCCACCCTGCAAGAGAAGGAGGGGCTTCTTCAGAATCTGCTGTACTGTTTTTGTCCCTCAGAGAGTATGGCCAACTACTCATCCTCCCATCTCGGCAAGCTCCTGAGGCTTCCAGCTATGGCTGCTCGAGTACGGCAAAAATAATCACGATTATTTTGGTCAATACTGAGATCACGATTATTTTGGTCAATACTGAGATCACGATTATTTAACACGATAACTCATTGACTTTGAAAATATCATGCACTCTTTGAACATGTTTTTTTTAACAGTGGGTCTCCTTGAACTGTAAATATAATTCAAACACAAAAACAAATTAAAGAAGGGGCTGGAAAGGGGTGCAAAATGAAATTCAGCACAATAATTGTTTTCCCCTTTATTTTGTTTTACTAATTATTGGAAACCAAAATCGTAACAAATTAAAATTCAATGAATTGCCCAGCCCTAGTTCCAGCAGTCTGGGTAGTCATTAACAGTTCAAATGAGCCTCTCAACAATACTCATGGGGTTGTTGGGTCAGCCCCTCCCAGTTGCCCCCTGTTAACGCCCCCAGCACCATGCCAGGCAGCTTCCTGGCACCTGTGAGTGCCGAGATAAAACACATTACGAATAAATACATTTTTAAATCCCTGCTCATGAAAACTGGCACACAAGCAAATTAGCAAATCACTGGAAATGCACTTTTGCTTTTTCCTGTGTGGGAGGCAGCCTCTCTACCTACCAGTAATAACAGAAGTACTCAAGTACGCTCGATCCTAAAACACGGAGCGCAGGACAGACACGCTCGGGCAGCATTCAGGACTTCCATGGTAAGCCGCAGAAGTTTTGAGAAGATGTTAGAAGTGGATGAAGCATTATGTCATGCAGATTAAATTATTTATGTCCCAAAATAAAATATTAAAAAAGCAAGTGGTGAATGCATCAGGCTGGCGGGCCTCTTTTCGGGAAAGACAAGGATGAAGAAGCCATTCAACTGATACAAGATTTACATCGTGAGGAACCTGAACAGGCCCTCAGCATGGAGAGGGCATTACTCATCCCTTATGGCTGGCTTCCTAAGAGTCCCCCTGAACCATGCTCAGCCAAAAAGCACCAGACAGCATCTGCAAAAATCCCCGTCATGTAAAACGATTGGGGTTGATTAGTAGTAGTTTGATTAGTAGTTTCGAAAGCTGCTACAGATAACACCCGAGATCAGCTCATCAACGCCTACGACTCTCAAGGTTAGGGTTAGGCCCACAGGATCTGCAGGTCTTCCAGCTTTTCATAAACGTCTAACCACCTCCGGGTGAAGAAGGAAACGTCAAGTGACTCGACTGAAGAAATATTTAGATTGATGACATGTTAAAACAACAAACAAAAACCTATACAAGCTAAAGCCCTCCAAAGGTAAACAGCGATGGGAAACAGCCAATCTTATTGTGGCGAGGCTACAGAAAAACAAGAGCAGCAGCCAGTGGATGTTCATCCCTGGCAAAGACAGGCACACGTGGGTGACGCACAGCCAGAGAGCATTGTCTACCCCCAACAGCAGCATACTGAGCATCCCGCATCTGAAATGCAGCCTGTACTAGAAGCGCAACCAACAGAAGGAACCAGAAAGCATCACTTCTGATGCCTGTTGAAGGATCCCCCCCCATCCCCCATCGTGCAGCACGAGGGCCTCTAAGCCACCGTCATGTGTCGCAGTCTTGGCTGGAGCTGACCTCGAAATCACAATCAATCCACGCTCTCTCACAGGCACACGTGCCAGTACAAATGAGTGTTCATACACACTGTCAGGTCAGAGCAGGGCAAGTTAGAATCACCAGTTTACTTGACTGTGTGTTCTTGGGTTTGGTGGACACAGACACACACACACACACACAGACACACACACAGACACACACACACACACAGAGCAGGAGGGATTCAAACCTCAAACTGTAAGGGACAGATAACAGTGCTAGCTGCCGTAAGTCAGCATGCTACTACCTCTCTGAACCAAGCCTTCTAAAGAACTTCCCGCATCGCTGAGTTTGTCCAACTCAATCCATGCGGCACAGAAATTCACCGTAACAATCCACTTACTCTCCTATAAACCAGGAGAGTTCTCCAAAATTAACTGAGGGTAATCTTATTGTTCTAGGATAGGGGAGTCATTTTTTAAGACAGTAACTATCCAATGATTACTCATAACCACCACTGCTGTAAAATATTACTGTATCTTTATTTAATTATTTTGAAAAACAAGCAGCCATCTGGGGCATCCAAGACAGAATCCTTACAAGACGGAAAAGAGGAGCTCCCCACTCAGCAAATGCCGGTACCCCTCACCACTGTTATATCCCCATAATTCAGACAGCTTCATTTTTGGGTCAATCCTCCTTCTCCATTGACTACTGAACCATCAAAACAAATTCAGAAGGACAAGGTCTCTCTTCGCAGGGCTGGTGAGTGTGTTTGCTTGCTTAAAAGGGCTGAGCACATAATTCTGTTTACAGGTTTAAAGAGCGGTGAGCTTCACCGGCAGGTGAAGTAAACACCAGAAAGGACAGCGGGTTAGGGCGCCTCGCTGAACAAAAGCACGCCTGTTCCAGAGCAGTCATCCTCGTTGCCGGCTCCTCCTCCAGCTTCCACGGGGCTTTAGTCAAAGAAACCTGGGCTTGTTCTTTCACTTCCCCCCGTCTTGGTTCCACACAAACACAAAAGAGGGGGAAACGCAGAAAGCCACAAGAACAGCCTTCCGCGGAGAAGCACTTAAGCCCTGTTGGCCGTTTGTCAATAATTCATGGGCAGCCCACTCTCTTTTCCAATGGGAGGCATAGCAGAGAAGCGTGAGAAGGCCCCTTCCCCACACCGGCTCCCTAAGTAATGCTTACAGCTCCTGGTTACAGTCGCCTAAATCCAGGGCATGTAATTGATGTTAATGGGCTGCCCCACTACACGCTGATAGAGCCACAGGGATAAGGACCTGATCAGCTACGTCTCTAAGTAGAAAAATGACTGCCCTGCCAGGTACCTGGGGACAGATATAATGTACAGCTGGCACTCTGGGGGACAAAAGCTCAATACTAAAGCACACTGAAAAAGATGGGTGAGGCTCTGAGACCATTAGAAGGTACTGGAAAGCAGACTCCCTCCAAAGCCATACTGGTGCTTATTTATGCATTAGGAGAACCCCAGCTGATCTCTACCAAGATGGTACAGGCAGCTACTCACACAGGGAAAGGGTTACGGCCCTGTCCTGGCACGGGGGGCAGGCGGCACGTTAGGGCCCCCTCTCCTGGCAAGTGCCTCACCTTTACCTCCACCAACTGCCTCTCCAACAAACAAGGTGTTGAAAAGAACACAGCAATATCCAACCAGCAGGGGGGAGACCTTCAACTCACCCATCAGCTTAGCAGAAGTGAGCAGAAGGCATCGCTAAAGCCCCGCAAGGAGGCAGTACAGGAACGCAGCGCTAAGTCAGGCCCCACTGAACACCACTGGCCATGTTCCTCAACAGCTGGAGCCAAGCGTTCAGGCAACTTGGTGAAGCATGAGCTGCAGTACTTACTGTCACCAACAGGATGTCTGCAGCTTGGCTGAGATTCACTGAGATCAATATGCTCAATAGAGACAAATACAGGACGGCACTCTTACAGGAACAACTCTCACCGCTTCAGAAAACAACCAATCAAAGCTCCCAGGTAAACGCAAGTACAGAAGTGACACAGTCGCTGGACGCCATGAGCAGGCCCACAGCTATGCTCCGTTATGGCCATCTAACAAAGAATGCTTCGGTCCATAACACACCAGCAGATTAGGATGGAAAAAGAGGATGTGTGACATTTCCAGCGAGCATCAGCATGCCTGCATGTATATCTGCACGCTCGCATTTATTCCAGGGCCATGAATCATACAGTCATGCTTCCTGAGAAGCACCATAAGATGCTCCTCTGCGGGTATTTAGGGGTAATAAATGGAGCAAAGGACGCAAGTGTCTCCTGTGTATGACACCTAGAGAGGGGCTGTGTGACACAACTCTGCTCATGGTGGGGTGGGGGGGAGGGGGGGGGGGATGCACAACTGATTCACAGAAATCCCTAAATTAATGACCTCTTTATATCCGCAGGCAGAGGGGGGGTTTATGTGCAGCACACAGATTCACAAGAGCAGCAGGCCACATTCGCGGGCGGCCATGGGGCCCAAAATCACCAACAGCGTAACACTAGCGACGTGGAAAACTCGTGTTGCGCACGTCTTTGGTGATGTGCTGCCACCGCCCTCCCACTCTCAGATTGTCCCACGCTGCCATGATGCCAGAGCCCATTGTCCTGCCCATAAAAGTGTGGATCTGTTTGGATAAATCATCCTGACAAAGGAAATCTTATGAGTGACACTAAAGTAAATGAGTGAGCTGCCTCTTTCCAACTGGAAGATGAATTTCGTGTCATTTTCTTCCTCTACGATTTAAACCTAAAATCTGCAGCTCCCGCCTTCAAGAATTAAGCGAAAGAAGCCAGAATACCTGTGACATGATAGCAGTTCCAGTAGAATGTGGTCGTGTGACTTGGAGAGACCCGCCCCCAACCCTAACCCTATCCCTATCCCCGATCTCTATTCCTTTCACCACGACTTGTTTCTCTGCTGATTTTATTAGAAACAGATACAGGGGAGCCTCACAATCTTCAATGATGATGAAGGGGCAGCAAGTGGGTGGGGGCAGCCCAATACTCAGGCGAACTGAAAGCTTTCCGTTAGCACTGCAGGAGAAAGAGCTGGCAAGGAGTAGATAAGGACCCAAGGCTGACTGGAAGGGGATTTCAAAAGGTGACCTTACGCATTTCAGAGTCATTAGAACTTGGCATGCAAGGCTGACGATGTTGGGAATTTGAACGGACTTGCCTGCAGGCTTTTCATGCTCACAGAACACAAGTTGAGGTGAGAGCGGGTTTCATGAACCACCCCCAGCCCAGGCGGCCCAGATGACCTTACCCTCAACCCCCAACCAAGAAACAGGAGCCCAATTAATCACCCCAGCAGTCACCAAAACAGGAAAGGGCTGCAGTATCCCCCGTGTTCTGTGCTGTCAATGTTTCCTCTGCTCTGTTTATTTACCACCCCCTCCCCCACCCCCGAATGCGACAGACGGGTCGTTCCTTGCGCCACGAATGCAGGCACGGTGCCGCTCGGCTCAGCTTCTGCACAGAGCTGCGGCCAACTAGACTCATTCCCTCTGCTGCTCACCAGCTGGGAGGGGAAAATGAGAAATAAAAAAAATACCGCCTTGTAAACAAGACTATTTTAGCCAAAGGACAGAGCTCTTCCTTTGAGCTCATGGAGTGCCTGTGGGAGCGCATTAGCAGCACCAGCCAAGGAACATAGTGGTTCCTCCTTCACCGGCACACCAGAGTGGAGGGAAGCGGTGAAGGAGGCAGCCTCAAACACAAGGGCATGGGGTGTCACTGTGGTGCCCAGGCCTCGAGGTCCTGTCTGAAAACCAACCTCAGCTACAGGACGCGACCCAGGCAGGTACATTGGAGTTCAGCCCCTCGAGGCCCGAGGTATTGGTACTTACTTGGAGAGTGACACACCGCCCGCCTTCCCAATCAGCTCCTCGTGATGCAGGACAGCGTCGTTCCAGGGGATGTCGAGGAACCTCAGCAGTGTCCTCATCCACTTCTCGGGGTGCAGCACTAGCTGCTCATAGTGCATGGGCAGGCATTTGTCGGCCGCCTCCAAGCACTGCGTGTACATGGTCTCAATGGCCCGATTCCACTTGGTCAAGCAGTCCCGGTAGCTGCCCAGGTCAAAGCCAGCGATGGTCACCTTGCGTGAGATCATGGAATGGACGGAGGCCCGGCCGTCCCGAATCATGAGGATGAACTTGGCGTGGGGGAAGATCTTGGCCAGGTAGTTAAGGGACTTGAGGGCGAAGGGGTCCTTGTTGCACAGGTAGGTTGCTGGCTCCCCGTGCTTGACAATGATCTCCAGCAGGAAGGCCTGCATGGCCGAGTCTAAGACCTCGTCAGTGACGCCGGCCTCATCCAGCCGCATCTTCTCGCGGCCCGAGCGGCTCCACATCTGCTTCATGGCCAGGATGCGAGGGATGACGCGCGTCTCCTCGCCGCAGCGCACGTCAGGGTGGGCGTCCAGCATGGCGCGCATCAGCGTGGTGCCGCTGCGGGGGACGCCCCCAATGAAGATCAGTGGCATGTCCTTGTTGTAGGCGGCGGCGCCGGAGCTCAGGTTCTGGCCCGAGCGCAGCGTGGCGTGCAGTAAGCTGGAGCCGCCTGGACGGGCCCGCTCCTCGATGCGGTGGTGGCACTCCATGGCATGCCGCCCCAGGTAGAAGACGGTGATGGAGCTGATGACCAAGCAGGCCACCAGGAGGTTATGTTTCAGCTTCCCGATCATGGTCGGGGTCGTGGCGAGGGAAGGAATCGAAAATCAGAGGGTCCCCCCCCTTCAAGGGCAACCGCCGGGGGCCGAGTGATGGCCGTGTTCCTCTGTGTCCAGCCGCCGCCGAGCCCCCAGCTCCATGAGGCCTGCAAATACAAAAAAAAAAAAAATTCAGAAAAAAAACCAAGCCGTCATCCTCCCCCTGCATTTCCCTGCGCCTGACCAAAAAGGGCATCTGGCCTGGGCTGGGCCTGGCACGAGGGAGCGAGCCCAGCACTGCAGAAAGCTGGGGCTGCAGAGGACAGACAGGACACAGCTCACTCACGGCTCAGCTGACATATGACAGACACCCCCAATCACACAGGCCGGTCCCTTAAGCTGGAGAGCTGCTGGCGACGGCAACCCTTTTCCGCAACAAACATCTCTCTTTTTCTACTGTGGTGATCTGAACGGAGATCCGCACACACACACAACTGACAGCAGAAGTACGATGAATACCTCTCAGTGTCTCATTTTCCAAGGCGCAGCACAACTCCTGCGTTAAGGGCAGCCTGTCTCCGGTACCCTGCAGACACGCCGAGTGAATCCCCACCGCGTGGCCCTGGCACCGTGTCCCAGGCCTCCCACCCACGCTGCTGCCTGGACGCAGCAGGACCCTCCCCTTGGACAGGCCACCTTCACACTTCCGAGAGCCAGTTTGTTCAGCTCAGGCAAATCTACATAGCGGTAGGAGGAACCCGTAGCCATCTGCAGAGCTACTGGCCGGCTCATGCCCCCACCCTGCTCCCTGACTGCAGCCCTGCTGCGGTGACGCGGCTCAAGCTGACTACAGGAACGCAGGAACCGGTAAGCCGAGGGACGGGAGAGCGGTTAGCCACAGGCTACTGGATGAACAGCATCATTATCCGTGTACAATTACAGAAAACAAAGAGCAGCGTAACGGGGCTGCTCTGCTGAGGAAGCGCAACAGCGTGTCTGTACGTGCCGCGGCCTCGAGACATGAAGCGCTTATGCAACTCCCATATGTAAAAGATCAGAGGCAGCCCACAGAGGCCTACTCGACGAGAACACCCCAGGAGGCATCCACTGGCAGCACAGCAAGCACCCCGCCCCTACGCAGGCCCCCTCCCTGCATTATTGCTCTCTCGCTGGGGGAAACTGGGAAGGCCTCTCAGGTTTAAAGCAGGTGGTACCCTGTTGCGACAGGCAGCAGGGGGCGTCAGACTAGAGTGCTGGGGGGGGGGTTGGCAGGCCGCATTCATGATGCATTGTTATTCAGCAATGGCGGGGATGGTGGGAGGCAGCTGAGGATAACGCCCACACACCTTGAGACAGGCAGACAAGCGGCTCCCGTCTCTCGACTGTGGGTTTGAGGAAGAAGCGTTCAGATACAACAGAGGGGGCGGGTCAGCTGCAAAGGTGACTTAAATAAAGAGCGATTCCTCAGTTCAGATGAAAGCCTTATGGAGAAAATGCAGCCGCCTGGCATCTCAGCGCTCCTGTCCATGCAAACCCTTCGGATGGACATCTGACACTCTACAACTCTTCATGGTATATTTCCCTGCTTCTTGGAAAAGAAAACTGAAACGAGTCATTAAAAAAATGATTAGCAGGGCTATTCCTAAGAGATAAAGGAGGCCTTTTGACTTTCACAGGAGACAACTGTGGACAAGCAGCGGAAGGTGATGTTCGTGTCATGCGGACGCACCGCGGAGTGTCGAGGGATTCCCGCGCACCGGGCCGGACGCAGAGCATGCCTGCCACCTCTCTCCAGGGTCGGCTTACACCTCGCGCCGCTCGAATGAATGTTTGCATTAAATTAATAGATCTTCTTATATTGAGTTACAGGCCAGCCTCCCCCCACACCGTCACATTGATCCGTTTGTCATCCCTCTCAGGGCTGCAGCTTGAAACCTAACCGCTGATGGGGGTGGGGGGGGGTCGTAATGTCAACACTCTCATTTACAGAAGGGGTTCACAGAGGACAGTTCCACTCCCAGCACAGGGGAATATATTTTTTTTTTTAAAGCATGCATTTATGAGGCTTTGTTGACTGAGGGACATTCTTTTATGTATTACTTCAAAATACTCTCTCGTGGACAGAGGTGGGCCAAGCAGGTGTCCAAAAGACAGTGAAATGCTGAAGATGACCCCCTGTGGGCCGCTGACTCCAGACCACACAGTCAGCCATCATTCCCGGGAGACGTGGAGAGGCAAGAGCAGTCTGACTGACCACAACGAGTCCTTCCATTCAGGCCACGGCTAGAACAGCACCAGTGTTGCCAAACAGCCATCAACAGGGGCTGGGAGGAGTTAAGCCAGCCAGGCAGAGGATTCTGTACACACTGCGAATCAACCGGCAACCTTTGATCACTCAGTGGGGCTTTGAGCGAATTATCGGTCAGCTGACATAGGGTTAGGAACAGGGTAAAAAAGATTACAAGTTACTCAAAGATTCATCACAAATTTAGTTACAAAGGAACAACAACAAAAAAAGTCACTTTAAATGTATTATATACCCTTCTCAATTTGTGAATTTTTTTTTCCCAATTTCAAAAACTCAGGAGCTCTCAAACTAAAACATCAACACCCCACCCAATCACAAGCTTTTGGCTAATCTTAAGCATCAACTTAAGAACAACTAAATTTCAAGGCTGAAACTAACATCTCTTGAGGCTCCTTCCCATTGGTCATTCTGTAATACCGCAATGTCTAGCAGATGGCGGCAGTCCCATGACAGAAGCACAAACGCATCAAGGGAGACGTGAGCTTCATGGGACACAGTCAAGGCTCCTGTGAGACAGTGGCAAGAGCTTCAACTGCCAGTGATCCGATTTCACCGGTGTGTGTGGCTCACGGGACTCAGTTCCCAGCTCTGCAATCTCTGAAACAATTTCACGAATATTCACTGCAAACAAGCAGAATGCGTCACCCAGACCGACTGCAACTGATGTATCTGGCGCATTTTAAGATCGTGTTACCCGCCATTTCCATCCTTAAAAATGAGCTTAGTGGCCTGAGCGGTTTAACGTGCCACCAGAGGTCAGCTCCTGAGTAGCCCATTAGCTAGGACCTCTCTAATGCCAAGTGGCACCTCGATTTCTGAGTGAGCCAAAGTGAGACCATTCACTCGCAATCTGAGCACAGCATTGCAGGCCACCAGCCAGCACCATGGACCACGTGCACAAGGGATTTGGTTCTGCAGTCAGGCAACATGACGATGGCTAATAAAAAAACACCATACAGCACCACAGAGGAAGCACCAAAGATTGCATTAAAAATGTCTGAGGTTTCACAGCAGATTTCAAGTAACACGGGAAGCTCCTTCACTGCCGGTGACACTGGCAGTTAGCTGACATATACACAACTACAGGAACTAGTGCTTCACTATTTAGAAACAGATATAGGCCACAGAGTGCAGTTAAAATGCTCCACAGCTGCATGTTGAGAAGCTTCTTCTTTTAAGACCAGACCTCAGCAAAAATGCCGCCCACCCATCCGAGCCGACGCAGAGAACAGGATGAGATGCACCTGCGATTTTGTAACATCAGGAAAACATTTTGTCTGGATCAGGTCAGAACAAATGGAAGTAGACAAAAACTACTTGAAACAATGCACATTAAATTCTTAGTGCAATTGGTAGTTTTCTGAATGACTAAATGAATGATCTAAATAAAGATGCATTCAGTTATGAAGCTAAGGAGGAAATGGCCAAAAAAGCTAAACATTTGCAGGTTAATATGCCAGAGAGATTTTACAATAAAAACAAAATCAGATCACTTTCTAATGAATTTGAGATGTAGCCTGTGAAGGTACTTATGCATGCTAAACGTGGGCGTTTACTGGACCTCTTTGTTGCTGGTGAACCATCAAAAACATTGTAAACAGACACCAGCAGTGAAAAGAGAAGGAAGTTTGAAACGGAAGATTACATAAAGCATTTCTTATAACCCCACTCCAATTCATGTAGGACATGAAAATGCATAGGAAATGGAAAAAAAAAAGACTCCCGCATCTCATCCTACAAAACCAGAGCCGCACGCAACCAGGGCAAAATACACACTCTGATCATACCCTGCCTGCAGACCACCTGCAAGGGCAGCTGTCCAGCATTTACAAAAAGACAAAAACGTGTCCCGATGCACTGAGAAGAAAAATACGCTCTCCAAGCGATGACTCAAACATGCTAGAAATAAATATGCTGGATATTAGGGGAACAGTGTTCAGTGCACTGGCGCCAATTAACGCTGAAACCTTGATGTAAGGCGACTTGGTTTGTGAGATAAATGTATGCATCCATACGACGTGACTTCCGTACTATTAATCAGACAGATCGCTGCAAAGATATCATCCTGCATGGTGTCAGCGATCCCGGCGTCGCTCTGCGGACAAACACTGGCACAGGCGACGTTTTATCATCTTAATGTATTATTTATCAGTTAAATGTATAAAGCATTTAAATGTAACAGACGTGTGCGGACATCGAGGAAACCACAGAATACACTGAGATGCGATCTCGGTGCTCAAGGGGAAACACACAGGCTTAATAGTGCGGAATAGTAAGTCTGTAAGTACTGCAAGAAGCCAGGGCTTGGGTACACTGACTAACGATGGGCGACCAACATCCATACGTCCGTCAGAGTGTACCGAGCCTGACGAGAGGGGAATGAATCAGCGCCGCTGACACGTGTGGATGTGGAGCCGCCAACTGAGATGCCGCCGCCGCGACCTTGCGGAAACGACACCGGGAGCCGAAACGCCAAATAGTACCTCAGAAACTGTGAGCACCGCGGATCACCCTGCAGCGAGAAGCTGCCTGGAGGTAACAGCCTGCCGGTCCGTCCGTCACCAACCCGACACGAACAACAAAGCGCGTTTTTTTGGGGGGGGGGGGGGGGTAAAAAAAAAAAAAAGGAAGCCATGAACCGCACTACCCACCAACTTAACGCAGATCCGGGTATTAGGGAACAAGCTGGCGATCCCGGCGTCCTGAACGCCCCTGCCCGCACATTCCCGTCGTCGTGATGTTCGCGCCGAGTCCGATGTCCCTGTACAAACCGAAGAAGAGGAAGGAAGAAGTGCAGAAACAGAGACAGACGCCGCTTTGGAGAGCGCTGTCCGGTCACATCACAGCGCGCGCGTCACCGCTCGCTCTCTAGCTCGCTCGCGCATCAACGGAACCGACTGCTATTGGACCGCTAACGCCGAGGCGAAAAAATAAGAAGCGTCGCATACAAACTCTGGAGGGGGGGGGGAGTCGCCTCGGAGAAGTCGATTGGCTCTTAGTGGTTGGTGGGGAGGAGCCAAACCGTGCGGATGCGATGCTTTTTAAAGACACAGACAGGCCAGCACTGCATAAAGACGCTTTTCGTAAAGGGGAAATTGGAAAACGGTTTGTTTTTCGTTCAGTTGTGTCTGATAAAGAAGTTAGAAAACGCCTTGCGGGGCAGCACGGTGGTGCAGGAGATGGCACTGTTGTCTCACACCTTTGGGACCAGGGTTCGAGTTTCTGCCATGTCTGTATGTGTGTGGAGTTCCCATGTTCTCCCCGTGTCGTCCTGGGATTTCCTCCCAGTACTCCGGTTTCCCCCACCCATGCTGAGTTCCCTAATTGCCCATAGTTGTGTGTGTGCGTGTGTGTGTGTGTGTGTGTGTGTGTGTGTGTGTGTGTGTGTGTGTGTGTGTGTGTGTGTGTGTGAGTGAGGGTGAGTGTGCCCTGTGGTTGGTGCCCCATCCTGGATTATTCCCTATACCTTGCGCCCGTGGTGTCCGGGATAGGCTCCCTCGACCATGAATAGGACAAGTGGTTTCAGAAAATGGTTGGATGGAATCAATGTCGAAGATGATATTTTAATCACACTTTAAGGAAAACGTTACCATAGGCCTTTACCATAAAACGTTTAATTTAATTTAGCATAGGCCAGGTTATTTTATATAGCCTATGACCTTATCTCAATCATTGTATAACTATAATTATTTTTCATTCTTTTTTCATTTATTTGTTTTTTATTCTTGTACATGTATGTAAAGCGACTATGGGTATGAGAAAAGCGGGATATAAATTGAGTGTAGTAGTAGTAGTAGTTGTAGTAGTAGTAGTAGTAGTAGTATAAATTTTTAAAGCAATAAGATTCTATGATTGCCATTCATCTCTTATTATATGGGATAGTCCAAATAAGGAAATGAAATGCTGTAACTATTACTGACCCTTATACGGGATCAATAAGCACAGTAAGTCTTCACAGTGGTGAGAAAAACGATGGCACTCTGTTTCAGCTATAAACAGAGTGCAGGGGGATGCTTTTAAAGGAATCCCCTTGCATCTTTGGATCAGGTGATTATATCATAAAATGCTTTTGATAGTACACACAGTAGACCAAAACATACTGTCTGAGGAAGTGCCATTTATGTAGTATCAAAAGCCAGAATTTAAAGGAGGTGCATTTCCTGGCATATGTGCTGTTGTAAATGCACCCTCTCTGGATCTTTCTCTCAGGTTATCATATCATAAAATGTTTTGATAATACACACGTGGAGCAAGATCTTTATCCGAGCAAACTTAATAGATTCAATTTCAGTGCAGCTAGTTTTGAAAGAGGTGCGTACCATTATGCATAAAATGCAACCCACTCCCGCATCTTACTGTCAGTTGATCTTCTCATTAAATGCTTTTCATAAATGCACACAGTGGACCAACACATCAGTCATCAGAGCCAACTCTGAAAGGTACCATGAGGACAGTTATTGCGCAAGTTTCTTAAAAGTTATACAAGTAAGCTGCCGGGAAATGCACCCCCCGCGCGCTACAGTGATATCGTATTTATCATAACCATGTATAGTTCGTTCAGTGTGTTGATTGTGAACAACTTTTCATGACAGAATAAGATTAGAAAAGGGAAATTCATCTCCTAGCAGGTAGGTGATATAAAAAACATCTTTTTGTTTTGCTTTTTTCAGATCATTGTACCAAAAAAATATCTTAAATGTGGAGAAAAATAAATCAGCTAGGTTACTAAATGTGTATAAGAAATCATATTGTGTAATGTTCTTGTTTGTGAATAAAACCAAGGACCACCTGGGTCATAGACTAGTAAACGAATGAGTTTCGACCTAGTTTAGACTAGTAAATAAATAAGATGTTCTCGTTCGGGGCTCATCGTTTACATGTAATGGCATATTTTATCACATTTATCCCATTACCATATGGGTATTACATGCATGTTTCGCGATGTGAAAGAGTGATATACTTTTTAAAAATGTGCAAAGATAATTTCCTATTTCTGTAGTTCGTTTAGACGGACAGAAAGAAAGCTGTGCGCGCTCCCGACATGGGATGCATTTCACTGCAGGGATACCGTAACACCTGTACAACACCTGCGTAAAACACTAGTTTTCGGAAGGCGCCCTATGAAGTTGTGTAGCTGAAATGTGCTGCTATTTTGAACCCCGTTTTTGATATCTAACTCATTCGTGCTTCATAGGCAAGGCAAGTGGCCGTTCGGCGTGGTGCTGGGCTGTACTGGGGGATTAAGTGGATTCCTGCCGGATTGGCGCCGGGGCCGCGTTGTCCCCCAGGGCTGCAGTCACAGAGCGGCGCGATGCCCGACCGTGGTTCCCATCAACTCATTATTTCCATTGTATTGTAAAAGCCCATGACTGACAATCGAAGGTAGATTAACAGGTACATCAAGCTGTGGAAGCTAAGTACATTTTTAAGATTTTTCTTTTTGCGTGACCTGTACAACATGTTTTTTCCTTTCACACGCAATGCGAATACCAGTCAGGCGAACTATGCAAACAGCAGCAATCTTTCTGGCATGTTTTTCTGAACTCTGTTCTCGGCAGCTGCTTCTGAATTAGAATAGTTATGCCACAGCCGATGAAGATAATAACATTTCAAAAAAAGTTATGGACTGAACAACCAAAATCTAAATCAACCGATTTCAATGCAGTTTTTAATTCACCACAACGCGCTTCCGAAATGTAACAGGAGAAACATTTACATGTGAGTATTTAAGCGCATATTTATGATACAGCCACGAGGATCTCTTACATGCTTTGGTGTGAAAACGGTTTAGTTTATAAAGTAAAAAGGGACGGTTTACCAGTTTTATTTGTCGCATATATGCGTACACAATTATACTCGGTACGATGTGCAGTGAAATGCACAGTTGCCTAACCTCAGATTGTGAAAAGAGGATTTATGTTTGTATAAGAAACAAGACATAACGTATTAACAACCATTAAGTAATAATTCAGGATGACTTTGCTCTGCTGCTGTACAGGAAATAGATTTCATTAAAAATGTCTAATAAGAAGATAGGGCACAGGCGAGAAAGACGGCAGTGGGATCAACATCTTGTATCACACCGCCGCCTTTGACCGTCATTGTGAAACACTTTTATTATATTATGTAAACTTAACACCAGACTTGCTCAGTATCAGTTATGGGATTGTTTCCTCATATGTTTGACGACAAAGTAGAAACCACAGTTCACGTTATGGGAAAATAAACACAATTCATTGCGGCATCCTTTTGTTTGTAGAATATCTTCTGAGATTTTAAAATAGATTACAAACCTTAGGAGAATCTTGGCCAGTGTGAGGTGTCCGTGATTTACGTGAGCTGCGGTAATGGCAGCCCCACCTCCTCTGTTAGCCTCAGCTCAGAAACGTGGTTGTCCGTAGCCATCAGTTCTTGAAGCCTCCCAGCCAAACTATTTCTATACTTCTACAATGCCTTAGCGAGAATTGTTGAAAAAGTCAAGAAATGCACAATGCTTACATCCGTGACAGTGTTAAAATATCAACGAATGAGGTCCTACATAGGAAGCATTCAGCTGCTCATTGGTAAGAGGACTGTTAAAATTTTGAGAAACATTCCAAGACCATGACGTTCACATGAGCTTGGAGTTAGGAGGGGATCTGCTCATCTTTAGAGATAGTGTCTCCACACTTGAACTCACAAAAAAGAATGAGGACAGAAATATCAACTGAAAACGGTCAAGCTTGAACTCTGCACATACTGTAGGAGGCACAGAAAAGGCTATTGTTTGGTCCCACTGAGTCAAGGATGATTTTTTTTTAAACCCAACAGACAACACAAACGTTAAACATCTGGAGCAGGTTGGAGCTGTCATATACAGACTGCCACAACCATCAGAGCTTCATATTTCACAATAGTTTCATACAGTATCTATGTTGTATTACTGTATTAGATTTGGCCTGTGGAAGAGTAACTAATAAAATGGGTATTTTAAACAGATCAATGCTGGGTAATGTCATTCTGAAGACTGCCACTTATATGCCAGTACACCACTTGTAACGTCTTAAATGATTAAACAGCCCATTGCATTTACATGGAGGATGTGGACTCCACTGTCAGCTTCATTTGCAGCTGTAACCTGGTGCATGTTTTCTGCATCACTGTTTGCAGTTGTAATCCAGTGCATGTTTCTGCATCACTGTTTACAGCTGTAACTCAGTGCATGTTTCTGCATTGCTATGTACAGCCATCCAAACTGTAGGTTGCCGTCAGTCTGCTATAAAGTGTGCTACTCAGAGATGCCAAAGGCTGCTCCTTGACACAAAGCTATTCTGGATATATGAATCCATACAAAATCCCTTCACCTCTGTGAAAAATAAGGTGGTAAGGATGGTGGACTGTGTGGCAGAGAAGGCTATTTAATTTCAGTTACTGTATTGCTATGAGGATGAGGGGTTTGCGTGTCTCTTGTGCTCAAGGCCAATCAGATATAAGTACCAATGCCTCTCATGAAAAGCAATAAGGTTTCCAAATGGAACAGATTAGGAGTCTGTCACACGCGTCTTTTCATTTGTGCTTTTTCATTCAATTTGCTTGGGAAACAAACCAAAGAGTGCAGATGTGTTTCAGGCAGTGCCAGTGAAATTCTTCACCCCCTCCTGACCCCCCCACCCCACCCGCCCATGCGCACAGCATTCCCACAGTCCTCTGGGGTTTTCTCCCGAGGTTCATGCTGCAGCTTTTCCACATGCTCGCTTCCTGGGGGAGGAGATTGGCTGATCATATGGCCACGCTGATCTGCTCAGCCCCAGCACGTGGCCAGAGCTCGTGCGGATGGCTTTGCAGATTCCGCATTACTCATTGTTTGCCTTTCTAGACAGAATGTCTCGAAATGATCTAAACCAACCACAGGTTGCTATCATGAAGAATTTGCACTGAACCAGAAATATTTGACTAAAATCTTTTTCAATGTGCTGACTATACTTAATTCACAACAGATGGAAATATTTGCTCATGACTCTTCATCTGAATGTAACATTAGAGGTTGGGTTGCTGTGAGATGTTGCAGCTCCTAGATTTTTTAAGAACATGAAGCTGCTGTATCTGCCAGCTCCTCACTGCTTTGTAGAATTGGGTCCCACAGAAAGACAAATAAGTGTCAGGGCTGCGCTTAGGGGCCAGAAACCCCCCCAGCCTCTCCAGCTCCCTCCTTCCCCCAGCTCTTAATCAGCCAGAAACCGTCTGGGCTGATTAGGTAACGGCTCTTGGCTCTCGCCAAAAAGCATGTGGCCGCCAAGCAAGAGGGTTTTGTTCATAGCCTCATGGGGCAGTGATGGAGGAGGAGGGCCCAGAGGAGCGCGCCCTCTGTGCTGGGGGGTGGGGAAAGCAGGCCCCACGTGACAGGATGCTGTCACGCATCAAGCTGTTTCCGATGCTTCGTGAACCTTGTCCTATTTACCAATGCCAGCCCAGATGGGCTTGTTAAGGACCTTGAGAGCGGATCGCAATGTGTATCATTACTGCAGCCACTCTGCTAGACCCAACCAGCATGAGCACCCAGTGCAGTCAGATCTGTCTTTAATTCATGGGCTACCCCCACGGCTTAGCCAGTGTAAAGCAGACTTGGCAGGGGGCTGACGGCTGCTCATAGTCGCAGCCGATTTGAGAGGGGCTGGGTGGGGGGGCTGGGGAGAGGCAGCTATAGGCAGATGGCGTGGATGGGGGGGGGTAGCATTTTAGAGTGAAGAGACTGGAAAGAGTCTTCAGATGCCTGGGCTGATGTGCCCTCCTGCCATGATGCAGCTCACCACCCCCCCACTGCAGCTGACTTTTTAATCCACAGCTCACCATGCTTCAGGCCCCCCCCCCAACACACACATCAGGCTTTGAGCTTTCCTGGCACGTAGAAGGAAGGTGCAGCAGATGTGGGATCGAGGTATAAGCAAGTTTAGATGTGATCTAGGAAGAAGGAGGTTCATCGCCTAGTCACTGCGAAGGCTTGTTTGCCAGTGCTCTGTCCAGCACTGGCTGCAGATCACTGTGACCCTATTGGCAAAGGTCATGACTGATAACAGGTGGAATTTAAACCAGGCCCTGAATTCTCAAGCTTAATTCCCAGGACACACTGACCATACTGATTTTATGACATTTAGCCAGTTACTTAATTAGGTTAGATCAAGCAGTTACAGCAATCTACATAGCAGGTCTATTAAACATGAAAGTCCGTTAAAGGATAGACTATTTTTAAACCTTCACGTGAAAGTAACTTTGGCGTCCACCCAGTTCCATCAGCCGCCCGATATATACGCCCTGTACTTAAAGCCCCCTCCCCCCCCCCAAACAGGCAGGTCCACAGTGGACAGTAATTACAGGTAGCAGCTGGCTCTGTTATGACATGAGAAAGGGGGCCTGTGTTTGTTAATTATTCATGCTGCAGGATGGGCCTGCAGTGGGGGGTGGGGGGCATCCACGTGGAGCTGTGAGGATTTCCCTTTTCACATGAACGCCTGCCCCAGAGGAATTAGCATTAGCTGTGGTGGGGGGGGGCGGAGGAACGACAGCAGTCCAGGAGGGCACTGACCCCCCCCCCCCCCAGCTCTGCATTATTAAAAGTGTCACTTTATACACTCCACCGTATCAGCTTCCCCCTGACCCTCCCACCTATGTCGCATGATATTTGCAGAGCCCCAGACTTCACGCGTGGCCCGTCTTTGAGCAGTGCAGCCAGCAGGCCGCTCCGTGATGCGTTCCATCTGAGGCTGCTCACTTTCTCCCCAGGGAGGGCTCACCTTTCACAGAGACAGGCACGATCTTTGTGCTGCTGCTGTTGGCCCGCCTGGAATCGCTTTAGAGTAACAAGGGTTAATGATACTACCAATGGCATCCTTTCATCCTGTGCACATGATCACATCTCACTTTGGTCACACAGCCTGCTTTACCTGGTAATGGAGAGTGTGGAAAGAAGCAGCATAGGGAAGAGACTTGGCATTAATACCCAGGTGAGCAGAGGGGACCTCCGCAGTGACACTCGCTCACTTCCCAGCTAACACCACCATTGGCCACCTCTCGTGCCCATCAATATTACCGTCTGCGGATTTGCAGATTCACACACCTAAACAGGAAGCGGTCCAGACCACAACCTGACATGAGGGGTTTAATCCACAGGATGACAGACACACAGAGACGTGTTTACATCATTCATCATTTATTGTATTTCAACAAAATACTGCATATAAACAATAACATTTGTGTACATGTCATGACTTGAGAGCAGCTGTCACACGCTGAATAAACAGGACAGTCTCAGAGTGTCATCCTTCACACAGTGAAATGGGGGGGGGTAACCAGGATCTCCATCATCATCATCATGCAAAGCACATGCCTGAGCCAAAGCCCTTAGTGAGAAACACTGCAGGCTTACACTGAATCGGACTTGACACCTTGTGACTGCTCTGCCCTACCCACCGAACGCTGTGGGGTATTTATAGTGAAACCACATCTCCCTACGGACTCTGTTCACGCAGCCAGCGTGTGAAAAGCTCCTCCCAGGCCAAATCACTGCTCCGTGGTGTCTTGCATATCAGCGTCCACTGGGGCGGCGCCGGTGTCCTGTGGCGGGTCCCCGGGGAGAATCTCCATCACCGTTTGAAGCAGTTGCTCGATCTGTTCCTCTGTCAGCCGCTCCTCACTCTCCTCCACCATCTGCGTCAGGCAGGAAAGTGCAGGGAGAATCAACGGGCTGCGACCACACACACACACACACACACACACAGCGCTTCCACAGTTTAAATCCAATGTATGAAGGAACTTTGGCTTTCAAAATTTAAATGCTGCCATGCTGTATGCAAACTTTATTCTGCAAAACTTAAGCCTTGTGGTAATATGATGAACATACAGGCACATATTACTACACATCAGCCTGAGATAGACAAGGCAGCGAAGACGCATGAAAGGTCTGTGTAGACCCCCCCCCCCATCTTCAAGGTTTTAAAATTCTAAAAAAGAAAAAAGTCTTGGTATTGAATTGGGATATTCATAGAATAGGAATACATATTGAACCTAGGTATCATGATATCGTATCGGGAGGTCACTGGTGATTCCCATCACACACACACACACACACACACACACACACCATGTCCAAGATGCCCCAAGATCACCTCTAACCACACCATTAAAGTGCTTCAAAACGACACCATAAACTGCCTCTCCTCCCATTTTAAAATTACTGCATCAGTACCGGAGAACCAGCCAGAAAAACAGGCCCAAAATAGCCACTCAGACTACAGCTGTGTAGCTGATAGCTGACCAGGTACAAAGGGTTTCATCCCAATAGGGTCAGGCCCTTACAGCCCAGCCAGTTATTTTTGGCACTGTTAAGCAGGAAGATTCTAAGAGGTGAAGTCATTGACTAAAGTCAGATTCTCTGGTGGTTAGGGGCCAGCACCCCAGCAGTCCCCGCCCAGCCCGGCTCTACGCCACGGGGGACATGGACGACGCCGTGACTCGGCAGGAAACCTCCCAGGGCCCCAGCGATGAACCTTTACTTCTCAGCAGGATACAGCAACAGATTTGCAGTCACATCCAAAGCACAGATCTGCAGGGAGCCCCATGGCCCAGCAAAGACGGCACTGTGCCGTTAGCGTTTCCGCAGGT